CCCCAAAACCCCAAAACCCCAAAACCCCAAAACCCCTTTGCTACAAACCCTAATTGAAATTACCAAAAGTCAAATTTCTCAAAATTAAGATTCATTCAGGAAGAAGATTCTGAGGATCTTTCCTAAGGAGTATCCGAACCAGTAGAACTGGAAAGTGAGGGAAGAGCCAATATGGACTGCGTGCCAGAGGAAGAAAGGGCCAATGTTGGAGACAGCTGTCTGAACATACCTCACTGCAGTAAGTGCAAGCCCAACCAAGAAGTTATTATCTTCAAAGTTATCATCAAGCCATTCATCAACCTGAATCACAATAGATGGAGTACTGCATGCATTGACTAACTCATTAGCAATATTTGAGGTGAAAATGTTCAAGTGGTCGTCAAATAGATCTTCCTCGAAAATATTTCCATTGAGGATATCTGCAAATACATCAGCCAAGCTGGTAATGAATCTGCCCTGGAACTCCTCATCCATGCATTGAGAAGGTAGCTCATTAGAGTGACCCTCAAATCCTTGAGAAAATCCGGTGAGAAACTTTCTGTTCATCCAGAAAAGAATGGATCTATAGGATCTCTATTTATCAGAACTAATAAAGATTAATTAAAAGAGTTATAAAATATCGAAATAGACTTTCATAAGAAGAATAGCCTGCTCTCGCATGTTTTACATGACTACTAGCCCCAAGTAATCTCAAAAATAAGTTAAAGCTCGGACAGTGAGCTCAATGAATTGCTTAAGTTAGGCTAGCTGCAAGCCAAAGTTTGGAGCAAACTTACTGTAAATAATCCATGACAATATTCTCTTTAAACCCATCCTGAACTATTTCACTAGAAATTTCCTTGACTTCAGTCTGGGTTTCAATGTTCTTATTAAGATAAAAGGCGCTGGTGACTTGAGCGCTAGAAGGGGTTATCAAAAGACGACTACCTCAGAAGCAGCACTAGACACAAAGTTGAGAGGAAAGATATTTTCATTTCTAAAATTCTCTAAATATTATATTATCAATTAATTATCATCTTTTAGGGGTTTTGGGGTTTTGGGGTTTTGGGGTTTTGGGGTTTTGGGG